TTGCTTAAACTTCCCATGAATTTCCATTACGAGTAGGATGAAATTCAAATTCCTTGACAGGATTTATAAAGCAAAATTTGAGGGGTAAATATTAGAATGGGTTTGGGCAAGAAGATGGGGAACTTAGGGTATTCCAAATTTTAAAGAAAATTTGTCTTTACTTTTCCTCATTCTGATACCCTTACAACATCTGAACATTATCAAAACATTCTCAGGAAACTATCTCTTATAGTTAATTAATTATAGTATGGAGGGAATTTAAATTAATCTTATATCTTTCCCAAAGATGATTGATTTTTAAGCCATCTCTACTGTCACTTGAAGGTAAGAATTTTCCTTTGCAAAGAGTCTTTCCAAAGTTCATGAAGTTACATTACCTTCCCTCTGTGATGCTTTAGTAACAGAAAGTGGAGAAACTGTGGGCCCCAACGTGACTAACTAGAACCATTACAGAACTGTAATTCCAATATCTATAAGCTCTCTAAGTCATAAATATCTTAATAAGTTTGTGGCAAATTATAACAGCAAAACCCATTCCAATCTAACATTTAACTATTCTTGGTCTTCATCCCACCTACTGTGACTACTCATACATTTCATTACATAAATATTAATGCATTTGGAAATAGGGTCTTGCCCCAGACCCTGGGGGTATTACTTAATATATGATATATACACAGTATTGCCTTCTTAGAATATGAAAATCTCTGAAATCTAAAAGACATTGGTCTCAAGGCTATTGGATAAAGAATTCTGAGCTTGCACTAACCTTAGTTAAGCAAATCAAAGTCTATCAAACTTCAAATTTGCAAGATTTATTTCTACAAGAAGAAAGTAAATCTCTTTTTTCTTTAATATGAGATTCATTGAAAGAAGGTGCTTAAAAGCAATTTTACTTATAAAGAATAAGCTATTACACACATTTTTCAGGATACTGCGTGTTTTATGCAGCTGGGCTGACTTCAGTGCTGCACAAGGTCCCTCTTCCAGTTTGCCGTAGTATGGCACTTGTGACTCAGGCAACTAATGCCATATTCACTGTCCTAGTCAACAAAATTCCTATAGGTTCTAATACAGTTTAACACCAGTATTGCATAATCCAAGTGATTTCTGAACAGTGATCTCTCATAGTTGCTGTATTAAAAAGATAGACTATTTTATAGTTTAGAAATTACAGGCTTGATAAAGTAAATTGCTATATGAGAGGGTTTACACTATTCTTGGTGCACAGCTGGAATAACAAAGCGTTCTGAAAAGTTCACCACCTCTCCATGTGTGTGGTCTTTCAGGCATCAACAGATTTGCCTTCACAGTTGCTGCATTTCACTCACTACGGATACAATTGTATATCTTGGCCCTACTTTACCTAACACACACTATTCTGCCTTCACGCTTATGCAGCAATTAGAAATCCTCAAGGTAATAACTTTGATTTCTCTGCTACCACCTCCATCCTCAATACCATTTTGCACTAGTTTTTATTCAAGGGGCTCTGAAACAGAGTCATCAAGATGTCCTGGAGAGATTAGCTATGTGCTCTAGTTTAAATAAAATAATCTTAAGTAACCGAACATCTCAACTGGTTTTTAAATATTGGTAAAAATTATTGTAGACGTTCCTGAGAAGTTTTTCTTTTTTAAAAAAAAATCATCCAATAAAGGTGCCTTTAGGCTTTTGTGCTTTAGGGAATTTCTTTTAAATTTGTAAAAAAAAAAAAAAAAAAAAAAAGATGGCTGTCTGAAATTAAAGCATGCATAACAAAGCTGTGTTTTATGCTTATGCTCTAGAAAGAGTTTTTATATGGCATTTGTGCTATGGCTTTACTCCCTTTAAAAAAATAATGAAATTGAATTGTGCAACCACCTTATTCCTTAAATTGCAAAAATGAAGCATTTTCAACCTAATAAGAAAATCCTCACTCAAAAAAGTTAAACCCTCATCTAGAGTCTGAACTTGATTTTCATGTTATCAACATAGTGACGTTTCTTCTCCCCTGAAAGTTTATTAATTATTTGTAACATATAGCAATGGATGTTTGTTGTTATTGTTGAAACAGTGTTATTGATGTTTCAGCTTTTGATTGTATTTGTTTTGTTTTATAAGAAAATTCAAAACCTAAAAAAAAAAACTATGCTGTTTAATTAATTAACAGGTGTATGTTCCATGAAATCATATTACAGCCTTAAGACATATAACATAAATAACAGAAACTAAAAAGCTTTAAATGATTTGGAATTCTTAATTGGTGAAAAGATCTCTGTTGTTACTAATATTAATTGCCTTGGTTCAGAGCTACCTTTTTTCTTACACACTCAAAACTTTGCCCTCAAAACTTTTAAGAGACCTAAGCTCAAACTTTTAAATAAAATCTAGATAGTTTTGCCTTCTACAGGTAAACATGCAGTAGTATACTTGTGGACTGCTCAAAGATACATTGAATCAATTGATTTGAGACTCATTTATTACCACATTTGAAATCAGGCTTAGCCTGAAATAGAATATTTAAAATAATTTTAAAACAAATGAGTAATTTGAAAAAAAATACCATATCATCTTTTCAGCTTGAAACAGACATAAAAATACAAATTAATTACATAAGGTAATTCTGTAAATATTGCTAGTTATAGCAATCATAAATTAAGATCATGTAAAACATTCATGATAACTATATGTAAGAACCAAAACTATTGCTTTAATAAAAATGATGTAGGGTAGGCATTTTGGTATTGGTAAAACTGAATTTCACTTTTCAGTGATATGAATTAGAAGAAACATTAACTGAGGAAACCCTAACCAATGGGACTAAATGACACAATCAAATTAACATAAAATCTTCAGAGTGAATCTCATGTTCAAGTATTTCAGGAGACATAGTATGGAGATGGTAGGAGGTTGTAAAAAGGTTCACAAGATATTTAAATCATGTAATCATTACTTATTTCATTTTCATTAAGTAAAAGAAGCTCATGTTACCACTTCTCTCATTGATTAGTGTAGCTCCACAGAGATAAGCAGACAATAGCTTCTCTTCAAGGTACCTTTGCCCTCAAATAACATAGTTGCAGTGATCAAAACAAGTCAAGGAAAGAGGTTGTGGCCATCTTCAAAAAATCAAGCTTACACATTTTGGTTCCCTGAATAACATTAGGAGGAAAATAGTTGAAACGTAAAGCTTGAAACTGAGTAAATTCTTTATTGTTTATGCGCAAGAGATTAGAAAAGGAATAAGCACTAGGTACATGTGTAGTCTTTATTACAAATGAAGTGCACATGAAAAATAATAAGAGAGAACTGTAGAAAACTCCTTGGTTCCAAGGTTCAGCATGTAAATGTAAAACCTAGATGCTTTGTGCTTTAACATTTTTGGCTTTTAAGAATGCTGGTTTTGGTGCACAGTTGCTGGGAAGGGCCATAAGAGAAATGGTATTCACTGAGAAGCTTTGTAAAAAAAAGAAAAATATATATGGAGTGAAAGACTTTATTTCGATCAACCTATTAGAAGAGCTTGCATCCAAGACAAAAGTGAGGTTTGTTGAAATCAGTTCCACTGAGAAGCCCATCATGTGTGACTATTGAAGTCTGAGCTACACCAAGGATAAAATGAAGTAAATGTATCTTTGGCCCATTAAGATTAATTCAATTAAAGTTTTGAAATATGTTACTACTGAAAGGAGTTATATGTGTAACTATGTTTATCAGTACATGCAATACAAAACAGAAACAATTAAGATGTTTAGCAACAGGGTACGCTGTCATTCCATCTGTACTCACCAGGATCTAAGGATCGCGTTAGTATTGTCCTAGGTGCCAGGGTCCTCGGCCTCAGGGAATTTACAGTCTAGTCAGGGAGACATATTTTTATGATAGTTTAACGAAATATATACTTATAAATTGTGATATTATTTGAAGCATAATTTGAAGAATACATAAAAATATATCACAAATGACATGGTTTACATTGAATACAGACTAAGAGGTTGGGGACTGGGGTTCATTTCATGGTCAAGAACTAGCCCACCAGACAGAGGTAAAAGAGGGTGATTTTTTTTTTTTTTTATGGTGACATTGGTTAACGAAATCCAAAGTTTCAATTCAACAGTAAGGCATATATATATATTGCATTGTATGTTCACCATCTATAGCTAGATTTCTTTCCGTCACCACTTATTTGACCCCTTTTACCCTATCTCCCTCCTCCTCTTCTGTGCTCTGGTAACCACTAGTCCATTGTCTATGTCCATGAGTCTCTGTTTTTCCTGTTCATTTGTTGCTTTTAAGTTTATATCCCACATATAAGTGATATCATGTGATTTTCAACTTTTTCTGTCTGGCTTATTTCGCTTAGCATGATTATCTCGAGGTCCATCCATGTTATTGCAAATGGCAGTATTTCATCTCTTCTTATGGCTGAATAATATTCCATTGTATATATGTACCACAGCTTCTTTAGCCAATTATCTATCGTAGGACACTTCGGTTGCTTCTATGTCCTGGCCACTGTGAATAATGCTGCTATGAACATCAGTGTGCAAATATCTTTTTGGATATGTTTTCAAGTCTTTGGGGTAAATACCCAGTAAAGGGATTGCTAGATCATATGGTAGATCAATTCTTAGTTTTTTGAGGAACCTCTAGACTGTTTTTCATAGTGGCTGTACCAATTTCCAGTCCCACCAGCAGTGCATGAAGGTTATTTTGTCTCCTCGAAAGAGGATTATTTTTGAAGAATCTAAAAGAAGAAAAGTTTGTAAAATAGAATGAAAGATGAATGCTAACACATGTTATAAAGAATTATATTGAAAAATTATTGAAGAATATATTGAAAATTCTGTAAAAGTGATAGATTTTTGAGTGAAAAATTTATGTTTTATGTTCACAGATTACGTGATTTATGCATATATGTATACAACGATTGGAAGAACATGTGATGAAATGTAGAGTTATGTAAGGATTATGAGATTATGAATCCCACTCTCTCTTTTTGAAATATGTGTTTTAGTGAACTTGCTTTGGTGACAAATTCATGTACTAAAACTAGAAAAATACAGAAAAGATTGACACGACTCAGGCACAGGAATGACACACAAATTCTTAAAATGTTTTCTTATTTTAGTTGATGGTTTTGGAAAATCATCATTTGACCACCATCATAATAAAAATTGATTTGTGCCACAATCTCCAAAGGATGCTGACACTAGCAGGTGGAAGTTTCAGGAATAACAGGATACTAACATAATTTAGAGCAGGGTTCTCCAATCCCTGGGTTATGAATCGATACCGGTCTGTGGCCTGTTAGGAACTGGGCTGCACAGCAGGAGGTGAGCAGCCAAAGAGCTAGCAAAGCTTCATCTGTATTTGCAGCCACTCCCCAGCACTAGCATCAATGCCTCAGCTCTGCCTCACATCATCAAGTGTTAGATTCTTATAGGAGCACAAACCTTACTGTGAACTGCACATGCAAAGGGACCAGGTTGTGAGTTCCTTATGGTGGCAGACTTTATAGTGGCAAGCAAGTTGATGTACTTCAATTGTTCAGCTGCATCTGGTGGCATCTGATTCTGCATTATGGTAAGTTGTATAATTATTTCATTATACATTATAATGTAATGATAATAGAAATAAAGTGTAAAATAAATGTAATGCACTTGAATCATTTCAAAACCATTCTCCTCTTCTTTGGTTTGTGGAAAATTATCTTTTATGAAACCATTCCCTGGTGCCAAAAAGTTTGGGGACCACTGGTTTAGAGTATCTCCTCACAATAAAAATGGTAACTACAGTGATGAGTTCTAGCAGATGTCTATTACCTTAGCTAAGTGATCAAAGTTTACATCATGAGTAATGGGAAAAATGAATACCATGAGCCTCTTGATATCATGCACTTAGAAAAACATGATATCATTCAATGATATTCCTGTCAAAAAATGCCTAATCTATTTCTAATCATGAGGAAACATTAAGTAAGCCCAAGTTGAGGGACATTTTACAAATACCTGATCTGTATTCTTTAAAACATCATTGTCATAAACAGAAAGAAGGGCTGAGGAATCATTCTAGATCAAGGGACGTTATAGAAGCATGACAACACATGACACTGGACTTCCTTTTGCTATAAAATAATTCTTGGGAAAATGAAAAAGACCAAAATAAGGTCTTTAGATTAGATTCTACTATTGCATCAAAGTTAATTACTCATTTTGGTAATTGTACCGTACTTAAGTAAAAAAAAATTCCCTTTTTAAAGGAAACACACACTGAAGCATTTAGGATTAAGAAAATATTTCCTTTAACAATTTTTAGTGGATATGTTATTTGCAGCTACGTAAATCTGTGAACATCCTTGCTATGTATGACACTGTATACATCATAAGTTCAGCCATACCAATAACATCCACAGATTCTCTGACAGCTATGATCTAGTCATGGAAACTAGCTTCTGGCAATTTGTCACATCTGGAAAGGATCTAGATTTGCAAGAGGATGATAGGGGGCAGACAAGGGAGTGGAAATTCATGTTCTCGGAGGTACGGTAGCATTGGCAACTGGTTTCTCAGGAGGGCAGAGTTCCTACCATCACTGGTGCTTAGTGGCAAGAGCAATGTTGTCAATGTGGAAGTTATCCATGAGAAATTGCTTCAGTCTGAGTATCACTCTATGGCCCTCACAGAGATTCTATGACAGAGGCTGTCCATGTTTACAATATCCCATTCCCACGCTCTAGTAGATGCGATGTCCCAGCCTATGCTGTGGTTCAGTTGTGGACATGTCATTCAATACTGACTAATGGTATGACTGAGGAATTGATGTAGTCCCCTCACAGACCTGGAGCTTCAGAGCACCCAGAATAATTTTATGGGTCTCTTTTTCTTCCCTGTGGCAGCCAAAGACCACATAGCTGCAAGGTATAAAGTAAGCACATGGCCCCTGTTAGACTCATGTGAGCAAAAACTTACTTTTTGTTACTTTAAATATAGGCTTTCTTTGCTATGGCAGCTAGCATTGCTTACTATAACAAGAACTCTTTAATATTCTCTAATAAATACTCTTCTGCTTTCAGTAGCTATAATGAATAACAGCTAACAGTTTCATAATTAACTTCACTGATACATTCTTATTTCACTTATTTTTTTAAATGGACTATTTTTTATTTTAAATAATAATTTCAACAATTCAATAATTATTTTCACAAAATTATTACACTGTTATTATTATTGAGTTGATTATTAAATGTTATCTATGTGCCAGGTACTACAGTAAATGCCTTATGTACATCATGCCATTTTAAATTTAGAAAAACTCTATGAAATGATGTTATAGTCTGCAGCTCAAAATGTTTACCTAACTTGCTTAAGACACATGAATTATGAATTAAGTCTATCCACCCTCTAAATTCATGCCTTTTGTCATTATACAATTAACATCTAGTTTTCTTGCTGAATGTAGACTATGTGTAATAACCTTATTTGCCTCATCTGATCACCATCATTACAGTTTTAACAAGAGTTTTATACATCCCAGAAGGAATTTTGAGAGAATCCATTTTGTTAACGAGAGTCTGAAGTTAGCAGCTCAGTGATTCAGCATCAAAGCGACTTTCCTTCTCACCTGCTCTGACTTTGGAAATGTAATTTCTCTGCAGTTGTGGTCACACTGTATCCCATTTTCTTCTGTTTTTGATAAATCATTTCCTCAGAAATAAGATTGGTGTATTTACTCCAATTCATCACTTATTTCAGGTTTCTTTTTTGAATTTGCCAACCCCATATTCTTATCCCATATATCATATCAAGGTCTTTCATTCTGCCCCCTTCACCTCTTCATACAGAGACTTGTTACTTCTGTTCCTGAAACCCTGATCTTGTACAATTCAATGAAAGTGTCTGTAAAGTTTGCTGACAAGCATTCCCAGGATCTGAATCACTGACCTGGGTATTTTGGCTTATTTCTGGTCTTGTGGATACCCACTGAGTAGAAACTACATCATGGAATTAAAAATTTTATGCTAATGATTCTGAGCCCATCACTGTCTTTCCCACTCATCAATTAATCTCTTCATTTAGCACATTTTATAGGTTTATTTTTATGTGCCACATCTTTAACTATACCACAGCAATCATATAAATCTGAAATTCTCTTTAAAATGTCATTTCATTTTTTTCTAATCTAATCCATTCTGCTAATAATTATTCCTCAGAAAAAAATGGCATTTAAAGTTTTGAATATTATTTTTCATTATTCTAAATTTAAATAATAGTCAGACCTGCTCATTAAGCCTTTGATACGAAAGATAATGGCATCAAGTTCTATGGGTGCCTTGAAATTAAAGTACTGATAAGAAGGTTAAAACCTAGTTAATTATTAATTTGAGTCATTAAGGAAACAATATTCGTCAATTAGTCCACCTCGGTTTATATGATTACATGACCAAATCTCTATGGATTAAAATAATAAGGACTGCTTTCAAATGATAATATTATTTGAGAGAAGGCACTTAAAAGTCCACCATATGAGACAGACTTGCCCATGCTCAGTAACATTTCTGCCCTCTAAGCTCTCCCCTGATATCCAATGGAGAATAAAACTCTGGAACTACATTTTTCGAGCTCTATTTCTCTACAGTGTTGCCATTAGAGTACAGCAATGTGAGTTAGCATATGAGATCTGAAGACACAAGGAGAAAAAGTCACAACTTTTGGTAGTATCTGTAGGTACACGGGTGAGCATCAGCAGGTGGCAGATATGAGATCCTGTCCGTGACTCTCAAACATCTGGTACTGAGTTGACCACTCTAATGCTACTATGCTAGCCGTGTGGAATTTTCTAAAAGAGATTTTGTAAGTTTTGCCTTATGCATTTCCAACAGTTTTGTAAATTTCTATCACCCTGTATTAAAATTTTTATTTCAAATATTTATAGAACTCTGGCTGACACATTCATTAGCACATTATTCTGACTGGCCTATTATATATTTGACTGGCAACTTTAAGTATGTTCCCAAAAGAACAAAACTGTGAAGTTTTGTGAGTGGGACCATTTTGAAAAGAAAGGAGTAGAGGCTTCACATGTGCTACAGAAAACACATATTAGACAAATAAGAGAGAGAGGGTCAAGAAGAAACATGTAAGCATTTAAAAAAGTGAGAGAGATATTAAAGAATATTTGGATATCAGAACTATAGGTTTGGATCTTCTTTAAAAAAATGATGAAGGTACTTTAAGATCTTTCTGTTAAAGACCACGCACAATATTCAATGGGAGAAGAGTCAAATTAAGGGACTGGCACATATGTAAAATAGCTTCCACCCTGGCATAACGGGCAGCATGTAGAGCATGCTATATGACTTGGCTTTGTAGAGTGACTCTTCTTTACAGAATAAATAACTGAATTTCATCCATTGAAATTACATTTTGGCAAATACTGAGACATCTTCATTAACCATGTATGTTTAAATACCATTGCACACCAATCTAAGAAATAATCTTAGCTCACTTGAACAGTCTAAAACTTGACCTTCTCTAGAATAACCAACATTATATACCATTTCATTATTAAAACCCAGTTAAAGACTATTGAAAAATGCTGACTTTATAAACTATGCAATTGTGGCTTTAGACATTCATGTTTTTACTAGTCAAAGTACAAGACATCATTGAACACCCAGGATATTTAAAAGCAACTCTTGATATGTTTCCTCATAAGGTAATTGTATATACATATACTCGTGTACTCGTGTATGGGGGGGGGGCGGGATAGGCAAGGTGTGGAGAAATTGCCTGGGAAATGGTATGGGGGATATTTCTGGGTGATAGAATATTCTATATCTTCACAGGGATATGGTATCCATTTGCCAAAAGTTGTTGAATTGTGCACTTAAAATTTGTGAATTTTGCTTTTCAGTACAGATTCATTTACTTAAAAGAAGAAAAAAACCCTTCAAACAAATATTGATTTTTGTTAGTAAGTCTGCTTTTGGTGGTGGTCTTTATTATAAATTCTGAAACTACTTTCTATGTATTCAGGCTTATAAAAATCAATGAATTCACTGAGAACGTTGAGAATCGGATTTTTCACTGTTAAAAGAGGGACTTATGAAGAGGAAACTCAAATTTAT